TATGCTGTCATGTAATGTATTGAGCCACTGATGGAACTGGTTTAAGCCATAACTTTTTTGAGAGCCCCAAAGGAGAGCTGGGGGAGTCAGAATGACCTCTCGCGTGTGCGAGAGGTGGAATTTGCCCCTACAAATCCAAGGCCACCACCCCACCACCCCAAGGCTCAGGGAGGTAGGGGGAACATTTCGGCCCCTCTCCCCAGCGCCCGCGGCTGTTGCAGCTGCCACCGACAGCGACGGTGGCCATAACTTTTTAAAGAGCCCCTAACGAGAGCTGGGGGAGCCAGAATGACCTCTTGCATATGATGGCAACGCCGCTTGGACATCACATGTGAGATGTGGAATTTGCTCCTACCAGTCCAAGGCCACCACCCTGGGGCTCAGGGAGGTGGGGAACGTTCCCCCCCCACGGTTGCCCAACTGATGGCTGGGAGCAGGGGGCGGGCCTTACGTGCCCGCCCCCTGGGCTCCTGACTGGCGGAGCGGTACTCCGGTGCACTCCAGCAGGAACCGAGGCCTTCCCTCCCCAAACCCACCCTCCCCAGGCTCCACCCTCAAAATCTCCAGGTATTTCCCAACCTGGAGCTGGGAACCCTAACTGAGGGTCACGCAATGAAGTTAGTTGGAGGTAGATTCAGTTTGGACAATACTAAATACTTTTTCCTGCAATGTACGATTGACTTTAAAGGGCACTAGAAAGTTCATTGTGAATAATCCAAGAGCTATTTGCCATGATGGCTAAATGAGCCTCCATGAACAGGGGTAGTGTTTTTCTGAGAGCTAAAGTGCTGCAGCAGGGGCAAATGATTGCTTCCATGCCCTGTTTGTGCAGTTCCTGGAGAAGTCATCTGGCTGGTCACTGTGGGAAATAGCTCTGTTCCTATCTTGCAATGAATGGATGTAGGTCCAGGTGGCGTTTGCCACCACAGTCCTGCTGCTGACCCCTCTACTCACATTCATTTTACATACTGTGGACACGTGAAAAGGGCTAATGCTGCCCAAGTCACACTGATTTGTATATACTGAGTTGCACTTGCCTGAGTGAGACTTTTTTTTGTCTGCCTGCCTATCCTTGGCAGGACAGGCCTTAAAGTGTCTCAGATGTCTACATAATTATACTCATGGGAGTTTTCTCCCACTGAGAATATGGAACATCTTCATTTTCTCCAGGGAACGGCAGTGTTATCCTAACGGCAGTGTTATCCTAAGTGAAGGTATATTCTTCTGAGTTCATTGACTTTAGTGGATTTAGAAGGGCACAAGATTTAGATTTAGTGGATTTTGAAGGGCACAAGAGCCAGTGTGGTGTAGTGTTTAAGAGTGGCAGACTCTAATCTGAAGAACCAGGTTTGATTCCCCCCTCCTCCACATGAAGCCAGCTGGGTGACCTTGGGTCAGTCACAGTTCTCTCAGAACTCTCTCAGCCCCACCTACCTCACAGGGTATATGTTGTGGGGAATGGAAGGGAAGGTGATTGTAAGCCACTCCCAAGACTCCTTTGGGTAGTGAAGAGTGGGGTATAAAACCAACTCTTCTTCTCTGCTTTGGATGGCAATGTGGAATGCTAGGGAGGGAGGGAGGGAGGGAGGAAATCCCAGTATCCAGAACAATCCAATCAACAGTGGGAAGGAATTATTTTTAGGGCCCAGACTAATTACTGACATGAGAATTGGAGAATGTTTGAGTAAAAAGGGAAAGGTTGTTAGCTGGAATCCAATTCTTGGTAATTCCATTAAAATCAAGACCCAAAATGTGATATGTTGTAATCCCAGCAATTTTTACTGAGGGATATTACAATCTACAGACTTCTTCCTCTCCTTCCAGTTACCTTATGGAAATCCTCTTCTTTCGTGACTCTCTTGAAGTTAAAAATAATTAGCAGCTTTCCCTTTCCTCAGGTTTGCTTCTAAAAGCACAGAACACCCCAGACTGAATGAAGCAGTGGGAGCTGGAGCAGAGCATGGCAAACACCTTTGTGACAGTACCTGATGGGTACTGTCTTAGTGAGCCAATTCAGTATTATGGTGAGTGAAACAAAAGCACCTCATGGGGAAATGCTTATCCATATGTAAACAGGTGTTTCATTATTGTTAAATATTTGGAAATATACTGAAGAAGGACCCAGAAATGCCACTTCTTGTTGAGGGAGGGCAAATAATTTACCCAATAGGGAGGAGAACACACATACCAGCAAGATTCACAGCAAGATTAAAAGATACCTGCTCCTAGATAGATTCAAAATTATTCAAACAATGTATTTGAAGATTCTATGCATCTTTACTATTATCCTTAAGGATAATGAAAGATATAAATAATCCTGAGAAATGTATCATCTAAAACAACGGGGTGGTGGTGACTGCCCTCTCTCAATAAGGCTCCTGTGCCTATTATGTGGGGTTTAAAGTTAAAAAAAAAAATCCATATTTCTTATGCATACTTTTTAAATCTGTCACTTTTCTTACTGGCAAGATGGCATTTCAAGTGCCTCACAGTGCCAGAGCTATGCATTTACTGCATCTTGCAGACCCAATCCCTATGTTGCTTTTGAAAATTGGCACTAAATGTTAAACTTGCTTTAATGCTATCAATTTTTTAAAATCAAAAGCATAACACTCCAAAACTAGTATTGCCAACAGAAGCTTGTAGCTGCCCTTCTGAAAACAATTATCTGGATGTATCACAAAAATAACCTAAAATTAACGAGATGTCAAATCCCGAATTAATGTACTGTTTGTGTGTGATTTCGCCCATCAAATTAATCCAGATGTTTTACCGGAACACATCAGTTATCCATTGCAAGACCTTGACTTCCAGACCGCTCCTTATTGCCAATATTCAACCGTTCAGTTTCCTCCAGTGCTACAAACACCATCTCCCCAGTCTCAGTACAGTGCATACAACTTGGACTCTCAATACAACGATGGGCAATACATCATCAGCAACTGTGAACTCACCAAGCCCACCTGCATGGGCAGCCATAATGATGAGAGTGGATATCCTGGACAGAAAAGACCCAGGCTTAGTCACTGCTCCTTGAGAATAAAGGGACAGGAAGAGCTCTGCGTGGTATGTGGAGACAAAGCTTCAGGATATCATTATAATGCACTCACCTGTGAAGGCTGCAAAGGTAATCAAAGGAAAATAATTTTATTACTGGAAAGTAAATGCTCTATATTTCAAAAGATGGGGGGGAAATCCAGCATGACAAACATTGGCTGTTTAAATCAGGAAGACGGACCAGCTGTTTAGGGACACAGAAGCTAGGGGCTTTGACAGTGCCTCTGTGTGCCTTCTGAGTTGGCAGGCTTTGTATGTTTATCTTGGTCATGCTAGAGCTTTGGTATGTGCCTGCCCTCTAGAGGACAGGAAGGCCAAGAGAGGAAAACTTGTAGTTTAATACACAGTAAGAAAAAAGAGTAACAATGTAATCAGCAGAAGCCTCTAATTAATTGCCCCATCACCTGAGGCAATTAGGTACTTGTTTTTCCTGTGACAAACAGTTTGCAGTAAACACTTTTGGTACCAGTGAAGTTGAAGTACCAGTACATGTTAATCATTAGAATGTCTTCCAGGATAAAACTGAACTTGGCTTTAAAAAATGCTGGCTTTAAGTTAAAGAATACACTGTTAAACATGGACTAGAACTGAGGGTTGTGGTTATTCTGAATTACAAAAGCTAAAAAGACTGGAGTGTTGATCCAATGCACAATTATTCATGTGTAGATCTTCTTGAAATCCAGTGGTATTTAAGCATGCTAAATTGAGTATTGCATTATCTTCTTAAAAGTGTATTTAGATTATTTTCACTAGGACAGTTACCAATATCCAATTTTGTAGATGTTGTTAGCTTTCCTATGAGTCATACTTTAGGTACATTAATGCAATTTGTTTGTAGCCCTGTTCTCTATTCCCACTGGTTTTTTTACACTGTATATATGTAACATTTTGTCCAGGTTGCCATATAGGGTTGCCAGGTCAGGGTTGGAAAACACCTGGAGACATTTGGGGGTGGATCCAGGAGAGGGTGGGGTTTGGGGAGGGGAGGGGCCTCAGCATGGTACAATGCCACAGAGTCCACCCTTCAAAACAGCCATTTTCTCCAGGTGAGCTTATCTCTGTCAGCTGAAGATCAGTTGTAAAAGCAGGAGATCCCCAGGCCCCACCTGGAGGCTGGCAACCCTATTGCCATACAACTAGTGATGACTGTACGGTGGCTGATTAGAACAGTTCCTGCCCTCCTACCATATATAGCACCTTATATTTTTGAAACTATGATTATTGTTTTAATGTTTTTATTGCCAATGGCCTTGTAAGCCGCCCTGAGCCTGCTTCGGTGGGAAGGGTGGGGTAATCATATCAATCAATAAATACCTATACCTAATATCAGGACAAATGTCAGCATAGATAAATACAGTAAGGTGCAAAATGTGTCCAAATACAGGAACCAGACGCATTTTGGCTAAAAAGCCTTCATCAGTGGTAAAACACAAGCTGAGCGCTCCATAAGTTACATCAATATATTTCAAACTCATCATATACATAATGGACCTGATTCTTTTTACATAGTAGCTGAGCACTCTGTCTGGATTTTGAATTTTGCAGATTGGGAAATATTGGGGAATATTGCACTATTCAGATCCATGAGCATATGAATTAAAACACACTTGGATGAGTGGCCCCTGTTGCATCTTTAGAATATGTATTCATACTTACTCCACGGTTGAACATATCTGTGTGAGTAAGGTCTACACTGTATTTGATAATTGTTGTTTTTTAGGTCCATTCCTATATTGGGTTGGTCACCTCACACCTTTTTTTGGTCTTGTCTATTAAAACTATTATGGCCCCGGCCACATGGGGGGAAATGACGTGGCCAAAGTGCGGCTTTTTAGAGCTGTACCAAAAAAGACAGTGGTGGCGGGATCAGACAGATCCCCTGAGCCGCCGCGCAGTTGCTCCCCAGCACGATCAGATGCCGGGGGGGGGG